CTTAATATCGATATTCTATTATTATTACATACATATGCATTATTATTATATTGGGCGGATAAGATTAATTTTGCCCATTTTTATGCAGACATTGAGCGATCACTCATAGGAAGCGCATAGGTAGCGCATTTTTTTTTTCTATTTTCATTTACGTCTTATCCTATTTACATTTGAAAACATAGGAGGTTCTCCCAGTTGCACGATAGGCCTGTACCTATGACGGGTCTATCTTAAGCACTTCTGCGTGACACATAGATTCGCACAAACTTAACAAACGTTAAGTTTCCGATAAGCGGTGTAGCACTTAAGTAAGTTCAGTTGTATACGGTATACGGAGTAAGAGCGTCGCCCATTAAAACTAAATAAGTGGTGAGTATGAAGTGCTAACAAGAAGATAAATGAGTGGCAGCATAATCTCTACCGCCATGTTCACTTCATTCTCTCTCTATTTCGTCATTCTTAGGTTGAGTGTCAGTTGTTCCTCCTGCATGTTTGCTGCAAATTTCAAAATAATTTGTGTCCTTAAACAGAAAGATTCCTCGATAGGTTATAGGAATATTTATTTCATATATAAATATCATAAATAGTTGATATAAAAGTGCCTTGCAATTGATTGCGTTTTGGTCAATGTGATAATAGAAAGTGAAGGTATCTCGAAGACCATTTACGTTACTGCTGAGGTGAATAAATCGTTCCCAACCTAAAAACGATATGCAGGTCCGCAGCTTTGCACGAAGCGATTTTTTAAAATAATATCGGAAGCAGAAGTCTGTGCTTTTTCTTTTATTTATATATTCATTCTTTAATGTCTACTTACAGTACTTGCGGTACAAAGAGGGAATGAACAATTCCGAATAATTTTCCTAATCGCTTTCTGAATAGATTTAAGCTTGTCTGTTTGTTCTGTCGCCTAAGGATAAAATCGGTTAAGAATGCATTGGTTAGCATTGGATCATTTTTTCGACCGCTCTCCATATAACATCTTAGGTGAGTGGTCTTTGAAAAGTTCTTTTATGCTTAACTATAGGATGGTATAGGGTATTGAACAATCGCAATGTATTGCTTTTACTTAGTTCAAATGATCTATAAATGCCAACTTATCATACGCACTAATATTGGATTGGACATATATATATATATATATAATGTTCATGTTACGTAAGTTATGTTACTCACATATTGGGAGCAGTGTCTCAGTGTACTTTTTCGTAAAGTCAACGGATACATTGTTTCTATAAGATTAATAATCGTACACAGTTGGACAAATTGCTTAGTTATAAAGTTTCCTTAATGAATTCATGCATAGTAAATTTGATGCACTTAGGATAATTGGAAAATAGTACAAAAAGGCATTTAAATAGTTTCATAATCCTTATAGAGGTTTTTGTAACAGAGCCACAAAAGCTAACTGTAGTAAAAGCATATTTATTGCCGAACTGCGTGCTAAAGAATCTTTCAAATAGAAGTAAAATCAATTACCGTAAGTAGTTAAACTGTTCTTTAATTAATTTAAAGCAACTTGATTCAAAACGCTCATCGAATTTATAAAACCGCGAATGTGGTTTAACATTTCGCTCGCTCGCTCGCTCGCTCCAATCGCTTGCTATAATTTTGCATAAAATCTTGTGAGAAAATGTTTTATCGTAACATTAATAGCTTAAATCGGTTGAAGAATTTTATTTAGCTGCAAAAATTTATCGACACAGATGCCGTTATTTGTAAGCAAAATTTATTTAAAGATAAGTGATTAACAGAAAGAGACGAAGAGAAATCATTAGATTTTATTTTGTAAGAAAACGAAAACATATTCTAATTAATATCAAATTGTGCGCAGCTAAGAGAATTTTCTTAATTAATTTCAAATAGCACTTCAAATGTTGTTTTGAACTTTCGCTGACTGTTTTGAATTATATGCAGTTCACATCTTTTTTGTCAACGTTTGCTTATCTTAATCACATTTGGATATCGCAAGGATATTGAATAATGTGCGGTTAACTTCACGAAATGCTTTCCCTTTTCTTTTTCTTGCATTATTATATTATAAGCATTTCGTTAACGGAAAATATTATATAATTTTATTTTCCAATAAATTAATTATATTTGAAGTAATGACCTCTTCAGTGAAATTTGACAACAGAGCGGAATTATGGACTCCTTTCGTGCTCCTTTACTGAGCTCAAATGCAACTAATTTTAGATACTACTTTTGAAGATAAATGGAAAGAGCATTTGTTTGTGTACTTGTGCTTTACTCCTAACGTTGCAACATCATTTTTATATCACGATGTGCTAGTCACTTATATGAATCCTGGAAATAATTAAAATGTTTTTGTTCTTCTTTATATTTTCAGTTCATTTTTTCAACTAAGCAAATGCTACAAATATATATATAGAGAGAGAGAGAGAGAAGGACATTTTCAAGAAATTGAAACAATTTGAAATCCATGTAAATTCATGCGATTACTGACTGGTCTAAAATAGAGCGCATCTCTGTCGCAAATTTTGTCCTCGGTTCGGTCCTGCCGTGACTATTCTCTCACTATATGACTGTGAAGCACATCGTGGCATAATAAGATAGATTTGCTGAAAGAAGAGTTCATTTTGATATCATGATTAGCTGCAAATTTTTAAGCCGCGAAACGCAATTTTCATCTTACATGATATTTACGCAAAAAATTGTACCTCTTTCAGGCTAATGTGGCGTCGATAAAATCCTATTTTCAATGAATCGTTTTTTCAGGAATCAAGCTGTCACTCTCTCTCTCTCTCTCTCTCTGTGTTTTTGTGTCGCATTAAGCTTGGTTTGCCAGCATTGAAAACTTTGAATATGAACTCAAAGAGCCTTTAAAATTAAATATTTTAGACTGGAAGCACACAAAATCTTTTTCTCCTTTATGATGTTTCCGCTTTGAAGTTGAATAAATTGAAGGCAATGAGTAGGCAGGCAGGCCTACATAGAAGTTTGTTTTTGTTTTGTTTTGTTTTGTTTTTTTTTGTTTTTTTTCAAATTTAAACATCAAAGAGTTATAAGCCAGAAAGCCCCTTATGTGGGTGCATTCTTAAAGCTTTTAAATGCATTGTAAATACCTGTGCTTTCGAGTGAAAACAATTGATAAAGTAACTAGCAACACCGCCAATGTAAACGCCCTGTAAGGGAACAAAACTCTCTAGGTTCCTTAGAGAATGCAAGTTGAAAATTTCCTACGTCACATCATCTCTTATAGATACACTTGGAACCTTATCATGATCTTATGATTTATCACAAGGTCTTGTAATTGAAGGAGCAATAGTCGCAATAAAACTTAGTTTCAATAACAATTTTGTCAAAGAATATAAGCCTTTCAGGTAAGTCCAGCATCAAAAAAGTGCCTGCTGTCTTGTGAGATCTTTACGATGCGGCTCAAATTACGACCATTTCCCAAAAAAAAAATTGCCTTAAGAAGATAAGACTTACAACAGTGGATATTTTTGTTAGTCATCGTGTTTGCCATGTAGTATCAAGTTTGATGTTTCGTAACGAAACTTATAGCAAAACTCTTCCCTATCAATATTGTGCTCAAGCGGGATTCTTGATTTATTAAAAGCACAGAGAAAAAGACGAGACGCTGTAAGCTTTGCGCGTGCGTAGATCTCAAAAAAAGGTACCAATAATGCACCAACAACACATTCAGAGTATAAAACAATCGCCAAGGCAAAGAAATACTATGGAAGACTAATTTGTATTGTATTCTTATATAGATTTCCGATTAGATTTTCTTCTAATACGATGTCTATAAATTTTCTTTTAAAACTCTTCTATTTACACTTTATCATCACCAAAAGTATGTGATTTGGATTTTAAAGTTTTTAAATTTACAATTAGATGTCAGATCGCCAAAGAGTCACAAACCTTTATAAGTGCAAACTGACATTTACTTGCCCCGCCCATCATGTAGTTCATGGCATCATTGCCATATTGTTCGTAACACGACTGTTAATCGTATATATTTTAGGCTTATTTACGCCACATTTTTTTAACGGCTTGTGTGTAAAATTTCCAAAAAACTCAACAAACATTGCTCGCACTCTCTGGCTATTTATTGCAATTTTTTTTGCTCCCAGGCAGATAATAAGATCTATCTACATTTTTCTAATAATATTTGATTAAAGACGTATAGTTTTACTAATGAGTTTTTCACGTCCACATTTTATGACCGTCAAAGTTCATTCCTTTCACAACAGCGGCCAAAAAAAAATAAAAAATAAAAAATAGTATACATGTCCAGCGAATATGAATATATGTAGGGGTTCAGGCTGAATTTCATTGGAGGCATTGGTAGTGAAAGGCTGACCGGAAAAATAAAAAGTAAATGTCGTCTCGCGTTTATTTATACTTTTCTTGCTTACGCATGCGCATATCAAACGACTTAGGCTAACAAGTCGTCTTATTAATTGTTGTAGATGCGACCGAGACGATGAGTATTCAACATCGGATCACAACACTCGATCGATCATGATAATATTGTTTTAGACAATAGTGATTATTATTAATCTTTTAAGCAGATAAGTCAAATAATTGCAATTGTTGTTGTTTGATTTAGAAAATGTATGAAGAGATATTAAAAATTCATTCTTAATATACACAGCAGTGGAACATTCCACTCCTTATTAGATTCACTATATTTGGGATTGTTTGATAGACGAAAACTGTTCAGTTTTTTGTTAATTGAAAAGAAAATTGATACAAAAAACTTTTATGTCTGGAAGCTTGAGCTAAAACTTTAGAAATGTCAATGTTTTCTCTTTCATGGTATTAAACAAGCAAATTTAAACGTAGACAGATAATTTAAATTTCTTGTTAAATCAAAAATAATTGAAATGATTTGTTTGTCTTTCTCTTGACTTAAAAGATAAAATTCTACGCTAAACGCAACGGGAAAGCTTTTGAAAAATTCCCTCTAGCAAAATTGCTCAAACGGAAAATATTACTACTAATATTTAATACTTTTTTATATTATTTACCTTTCTCAACTTATTTAGTATCGCATCGTAATCCTTGTGCATTTTGACTGCTGGTAACATAATCCTTGTCTTAAACTTTTTTGTTTTTGTTATGAATTCCTGTTTTTCACGAGTTGTCAGGTTAAAAAGTAACAGCGCAATAGCTGTCATACAAGCCCGAGAATCGACTCTTAGTGCTTTGCGTTAATTAGAAAGTCTTAACTGATATTGAATACTAGTAAGTAGTACGCTAAAGTTAATTAACAGTTTCCGGTTACTTCGAGAAGACAGCAGAAGTACATTGAGAGTACATTGTTGCGGTTATAGTTGGTTTTGCTCGTTGACATTTTCATTAATTTATTATCATTATAAGCATATTATTATTATTATTATTATTATTGTTATAGAAGAAACAGTTACGCGCGCGCACTTACACACCAAGCTTTAACGCTTAATTTCTTTTTTTATATAAACTTAATCAAATTCATGAAAGTAATTATGCAGTTATGCAGTCATCCTATAGCATTTATATTCCACTAATGTAACCGATGCACTCGATGCAAATTATACTTGGCTGCCATTCCCATCTACATATGTATGTGTATGTAGGTAAAGAAAAAAGTGTATGGTAGGACCGTTTATATCTTTTATTGTTTGATGCTGTTTTTCTTTCATCTCTCGTTTGCAGCACTTCTCGCAGGCCCGGTTAAAGATTTCTTAATCTCGTGTATTTTGTGTTTTTTGTGTTTTTTGTTTTCATTTGCAAACGACTTATGCGCCAAGTACATATATGTTGTTTTATATCTATGCGTTTACCGTTATTAGAAACACGCGAGTTTAAAGTGCAACAATTTGGCCGATAATTAATGATAATAAGAGCAACAATAACAATAACAATAAGAAGGAGAACGATAATAATTTGACCACGAGTTTATAAAATATTGCAAGAAAAGAACAAAAATTGAAAAAAAGAAAGCAAAGAATTGCAACACAATTATATATCGTTTCTCTTTGCCCGCTGCATTTCATTCATTTCGTTTCGCTGCACCTCTGAGGGGCAGAGCTCGGAGTAATTTTCTATAAGCAGGCAATTCGGAAGTTAAACAAACATTAAAAACTTGTTACAAATTGAATATTTTTTCCTTTTATTTTCATTGCTTTTTGTGTTTGGTCGGTCGGTCGCACAATTAATTGCAAATTTTTATTCGTTACTAATAGCACGGGCAACAGGTCGTATAAGTGATTTTTATGTAAAATTTTAAAGCATTATTTGCTTCAGTGCTTGCTGTTACAAATAACCATACATGTAATCACGAAGGGAGAAATAATTTTTTTTTTTTTTTTTTTTTTTTTTAATGAATTTATGTTTACATTCCCGTACAACAAAAAAGATATTTATATTTAATTTTTGATTCTTGAGATTTTTGAATTTTTTTTAAATTTTTTTTCTTAATTTCTCTTTCATTCATTTTTAACACATTTTCTTTGTAATTTTTTTCCTTTTTTTTTAATTTTTTTTTTTTAATTTTTGACCATTTTTAACATTTATTTATTGATATTATTTATTCATTTATTTATTTCACTTTTTATTCACCAAAATAATTAAGCACAAGGCGCGTACACGTTTTGTATATTATTATTTATTATTATTAATATTATTATTATTATTATTATTATTTATTATTATTATTATTTTTAAAAGTTTCAATTAAACGTTTACACCTCAAAATACCGCCATTGACTGAGTATACTTTTTTTGAACAAAAGCCATTCAAGGCTTATCGTATAAGGTTAGTTTCGTTTCTACTATTTGTATATATTTTGAAATTTATTTTTCTGTTTCTCTCTCGCTCTCTCATCGCTACAAATTCCAGCATATGTTCACGTGTTTTACGTTATAAAAAGCTTTGCGCATATTCTCTTATACGGCAGCTGATTTACTCTCTATAAGTCATACGAACGCTACGTACAAAGTATTTGATGCTTTCCTTTCGAATTTTTCATTTTTGTTTTTGTTTTTGCATTTCCTAACGCTCCTCTATGTGCGATAACAGAAATACGTATGTGTGTTTACGTATTTTATTAAAAACAAATAATAAATAACATGGACTACGACAACATAGATTGACTTATGTTTCGTTTAATCGTCATTTTAAATGGATTTTTTTTTTCTTAATCGTAGCATCGTAAGATTTCCATATTGCGGCCTTTATGTTGGCAATAAATTTAATCATCATAGACGTACTCATGCATATTGCATTAAATGAGTCCACACAAAAAACGCGTTAAATTTAATTTAATAATGAAATTCGCATCAAATGTTGAGAAAACAATGGACGCAAATAAGGATTTTCTTCTACGCGTACCTGTTGGCATTATACCGTAAAAGCGCATCATGCAGTTGAGGATTAAGAAAAGCTCCTTGGTAACGAAATTTAGCATATAAGAGGATTAACAAGAATCTGACTGAACACGAAACGAAATGAAGTCATTACAAGGATTAACAAAACTATTACAACAAAATGTAGTAGTGTTGTCGACTTGTTTAGAGAAAACCACAAGTAAGTAGCCGGTTCAAACCGAGTTCGTTGATGACAGCACGTGAGACAAATAGTGGTTGGTAAAGGGAAAGAATGGTTTTTTTTTAAGAAGACTAATCACTCAGGTGTAGTGCCCACTATTCGCGTAACGCGGCAACGGACAGTAGGAAGTGAGAAAAACGAATCGAAGAAAGAAATAAGGAGACGAGTAGTGGTCGCAGCCTAGCGGAGGCGTGCCCAACCGATAAATGTTATACCTTCACCGACTGAGAGCCCGCACTATAGCTACGACCAAACAAAACTCTACCGCACAGAGATTTGAACCTGCGAACATAAAATAGGTAGTCGCGATTCTTACTTAGCATCTGCACAAAAATCGAGAAAATGGACAACGCCCCCTCAGTGTAATCAAAATTCAATTTTTTCGTTGCCTCTATAACGCGTAGCAGCAAGCTTAAAAAACCCTATAAAGTATTAAAACTTATTCGCTAATTTTAAATTCTGAATGCGGCTAAGTATGTCGGTCTGTTCGCGTAGTATCTGCGGCCATCATTCCCTTCCCCGTATCGCCTACAAATTTGCAAAGGAATTTCAACATGACCCAAACCGGTTAAATGACATGGTTTTTGCTTGTTACGCATAACGCACAACGCATACACCATATAAATTTCCGCTTTCACTCTAACACAGACGATTTAATTCTTTTAATTTTCTTTGGTACCGGTGATGATGCGCCATCAACCGTTGGGCATCAAGTAAAGTGGCTCAGTTTGCTTCTATTGCCCCTATCGCTGTTAAATCTTACACCCATTATAAATAGTCTGGCAACGAATGGCTAGTCCGTAATATTTCATATTCGGCCTTGGTCTTGCCTTCTATACCTACCACCTTTATATTAAAATTGTAAGGACCAAAATACACTTTTGTTTGCTTTTGTGGATCTAGATGTTCGCGCCGATACTACTTACTTTCTTACTTATAATAATCTCCGCGCAGAAAGTTTCAATGGCCGCAGACAAATAAACGGATGGATGGGAAGGCAGAACGCCGGACGGAAGCATGCCTAGATTCAGTTCAGTACTTGATATTGATCAATTATATAAACACTTTATACGGTCTTCGAGCTTTCTATATTGACTAAAATTAAATGGGCGTGGCCGTTTTTTTTATTTTTTATTTTCGGGCATTTATTGGAAGATCACTTGCAGACTATATGTACATATATACAGGTATATATATATATATATATATATATCTTTGCAAGTAATAAGCAAGTGGGACGCGGATGCATGCGGTGTCACGTAACGCTTTACTAGAAGTGTTTCCTCTGGTCCATTTCTAATAAAAACATATATGCAAGAATTCTCAACATTTTTGTCAGATTTGTAGCTAATAGCTTCAGTTTAATGACCAGCAGAATGTTTACAACGGACATTATAAAGACGTACTGACAGGCAGACAGCCAGGTATTCTTAAAACGATTTACAACTTAATTCTGATTAAGTATGTATGTATACATGCCTTATGGCTGTCTCTAGAGCGGCCTTTGGAGTGTTGCAAGCCTTGTAACAAAATTCCTGGGTAATGGGTGTAAAATATAATAATAACGAAAACCACTCGCAGGCGCAACTAAATTTTAAGGGATTGATAATATTTGAATATATTTGAAAGTTAACTTTGTACATATGTATGAATGGTGATAAGTTCCCTAAACTATGGTTTGGTATTGATTAAATCGAACGAGCCTTGTTTAGTTAGCAAACCGAGTAAAACTTTGTAAAGATCTATGGCCGATAGGATCGAATAACCTAAACTACGGAATATCTCGAAAGACATATATTCAAATTTTCAATTCAATTGATCAAAGGAAACGTATATATGCATATATTATACATATTAAATACCTACCTATATACACATATATATATAAATATTGCATGCATAGAAATATTGTATGATATGGCATTCAAGAAATGCAATGTTCGCCATACAGATAACATAATGTATATATGTATACAATAGTGCAACAGAATATTAAGCATACACTGAAGTGTCGAAAGCAGATGCCACTTGAATGCATTGTCCGTTAATACTTTACGAACATCAATGTAAAGTACCATAAAAAGTACCAGGCTGAAAATAAATGGGTTTTCTCGGAATTTCGCTCTTATGCCACGCATTAATGTACGTATAAGCAGGAAATGAATTGCAGTTAGCTTACACCGAAACAATTCGCACTTCTTACCTATACCCTTTGCACTTTTTTAGTTTCGCACTAATCAATGCAATCAAATTCAATTCTATCACCTATCACCTATCATTGCAACGTTACCGAAAAACATAACACTTTTACCCATAAGTTATCTAAAGAACTCATGTACCTCATGCTTAGGATGCTAATATTATGCAACATAATAAATATTTGCTTATAAGTAAAGGATTTATTTTTAACATTGTTGGCGAACTTAAGACTCTGTGCACTTAATTTTTCAATTTATTTAAAACACGAACAACAATAAGAAAGTACTTGATTTCAAGAATTTTCATATTCTAGGTAAATTTTTTGTGACCGTAAGAGTATTTCGAAATTAGATTTAAGAGAGAGATGCAATTTTCCTATTTACTCTGATCACGACCAATATGCACTTTATAGGGGCTCTTGTACGTTAGTAGACCATTAGTAGAACTTAATGTACCCTTTGTAATGTGACAAAAAAAAAAAAAAACAAGAAGAGAAGAGAAGTGAAAAATAAACCAAAGTATGAAAGCAGATTGTTCGGTTGTATGTGTTCGCTTACTCTCGCTTACCATTACTTTTCTGTAGAGCACATATATCAATTTACCAGTGCAACACAGGTTGTGTGGTTATACTTGTAAGTATATTTTTTTTTATACTACGATTGTTATAAACTGAGAGCATGTTAAGTGTCTTCAATGATATATCAGTGGAATACAAAAGAGAAACAAAACGAAGCAAACAAAACTCTCAACACAATGGGCTGGTAATCCTCCTTAAGGTTTATACATCTAGACCCAGACTTGTGGGAAATATGCCATTTAAGCATAAGCTTAGAGTTTAGCTAAGGCTATTAAACGGAATCCGTCAAGTAAATCCACTAGTGTTCCACTAGTGTGCATCCCTATGATTCATCATATTAGGCAAATACCAGGCACCGACTTATATCAGTCAACGTCGTATAAACTTGACGCTAATTTTCACGTTTCAATTATCGGCCGTCAACATCGAGTAGAGTGTCGAATCATTGCTGCATCGAGTGGCGCGTGTAAAGCTGTCGACTATGTATACGATTTTCATCGACGACAAAATTTATATCGAATAATGTATACGAAGGGAGAAAGAATAAAGCAAAATATCATTACGAAACGCACATACTTGATACGATTAAAAATAATATGAACACTATCTAATCCTAACAGTGACGGAACTTCCACAATGTTGGCCAAAACACATACTTATTTTCCATACTTTTTATCTTCCGCTGAAATAATTTGCTTAGAGGACTACTGCAATGATCTCACAAATATGGTGCCATTTTTGCCTGCATGAAAAAACAATTTTCGACTCGAGAATAGTAGTGGGCTCATAGGAACTCATAAGACAAGACTAGCGTGTCAAATGCGCATTGGTCATCGATTGCCATAAACCGATCCCAGATTACATCACATAAGCTGATAAGATTCGTTGATTTCAATCAACTTTACATATGTTAGGCCATCGAATTTGTAAAGCTTGCAGTTGGTGTGCTTAAGGGAAGGTGGAAGTGTCATCGAGTCAATCGGGCTTTATGGGTTT